AACAGCTAGCTACATATCCGATGCTTTGATTTTTCGGAATTAATGAAAAACCCTAAACTGCAGCACCTCATTTACTCTGTCTCTTTGTTAGTACCTCTTTATAGATTGTCTCCTCTATAGGGCGACAGGCAGTTTATCCCATGTACCCTATGCATACTCTTTAGTTTGGTCTCCAACAATTATAGAACATTACCAATGCTCGCAATATTTTGCTTTGTCATTTTAAGATTGTCACTCCGAAAAATAGTAGAGTTGTCTCGCTTTGTCCTCCTTTAACTCAAAATGACACAAAAACATTTTTTAAACTTATTATGAATGACAATTAATGATGTGAAATTTTTAACAGTTTTAATCATATATGAGCCACATGAATACTTAGTATGTAAGAGTAAGAAAAAATAAACTTTAAATTTATTAAAAAATTAAAGCTCTTTCTTGTTCTAATCCTAAGTGTCGCCTCCTTTGCTTACAATGTCTGCATCACAATCGTATTCTTACATTGTCTTTAACCAACTACTCAGTGTAGCCATGTGATCCACACATGATTAAAACCGTAAAAAATATAAATGTTCAATTGATGAAAGTATTAATTAAATTACAACTTATGATAAGCTCTGGGACAAATTATACCATTTTGAGTTGTAGGAAGCAAAATAAAACAAACGATATTCTTCAAGAACCAAATTTGAATTTAAGTCATAATGAAAAAAAAAAAGTTTGTACTTGATCAATCTATCATCCATAAAACTTTGTTATCTACATGTATTTTTTGATTTCACAATTTAAATGGTAAATGTAGACACAATTGTGTTACAGAAAATTACAAAGTCAAGTAACTAGTTGATGATTGACATCTAGGCGATTCCTCCTTTTACTAGTTTGCCATACCAAAAAAAGCCCAAGGCATGTGGCAATATTTGACTCAGTTAATCAAAATCTGGTGCATTTTTACACATTTAAAATTTACTTTATCCATGATTCTCTGGTGTTGAATGAGGAGACGAGGCATTATTAGTGTGATTTTATAGTTATTCCCTAAATTTTGCAAACCAAAAGGCTCTAGTTTTTTTTTTTTTTTTAAAAAAAAATTAATATGGTCGTCGATAAATAATATATATACACACACGTGTGTGTTTGTCTGTATGTATTGTTCTAACTGCAGTATTAATATGGATATATGTGCTTGTGGAGGGAAAGGGAATTAACATAGTATAGCTTTTTTTTTCTTAAAAAAAAAAAGAAAAAAACCTAGAAGCTTCTCGAAATATAATTTTTAGGACTGCAAGTGAAGCAGACTTAACCTTATATTACCAGTCATATCTTCTTCCCTTTTCCTGCCACACCATTCAGAATATGGAAAACTCTTTTTCTATATGCTATATCCAGTTTTGACTTGTGGAAAATTAAAAAATTAAGCCAATGAGAGTTAATAATTTGGGAAGAAACGAAGAATATTCTTCTTCTTTTTGCTAGCTGGTGTTATTCGCATTATGGTGATTAAAACATATGGGAGTGAATGTGTACATATATATACACACATATATATAATGTATGTGCATATATGGCCACCTTTTAAGTACTTTGGTGCATTTTGCAGTTATAGCTTCACTAGAAAGAATCAAACAAACCAACAATGATATATAAATGCAGCACTGCTTTGCCAAACTGGGTGAAACTTAGGCCCCGTTCAAGTCGTGAATTCAAGTTTTTAATTCGAGTTGAAATGTGATTTTACGTAAAATTTTTTTACTATAACAAAAAAAGTTAGATGTAACTTTTTATGAGAGCTTTTAATTGTAACAAAACTGGAATTGAAAACTCAAATTGGTTAAATAAACAAGGTCTAGTAATCTTCTTAGACGTTAAGTTTTTGAAAAATTCACAGATAAATGAACAAGTTTTTGTTTTTTTTCATAAGTGACTACCATCTCCTATCAAATTGATTAGAGTACTATTATATTATATGATACAGTCAAATTCACATACTGCACATCATACAAAGTAATCTGCATGATATAGTCAAATTCACATTCATATATTACTGTTCATAATGAACTTTATTCTCTTTTTCTCTCTTTTCTTTCACAACTTTCACTATGTGCTTTCGGTTCAGTACATAAATAAACTAATAAGAGATTCACATCCTGCAACTTCTTTTCCCTTGCAGAATGTTTAAAGATATTATACAAGTTATAACGAGGAGCAATGTTATTAGGCACTAGTAGAGCTGCTAATAAAATATAGGTTCCGCAGTTCTATAGGTGAAATTCACTTTTTATTAATAATAGGAATTAACACTGATAGTGTCTCTAAACATTTTTCTATAATGCGTGAATATGTGAAATAATTACATTTCTTGTAACATTTGCTAAAATTGGACTTTACAGTAAAAGGAAAAAAAAAAAAGAAAAAGGAAAAGGACAAATTCGAAGGCTCCATTCTCTTAAACTTGACAATAGTCAAAAGAAAGGTTTTTTTTTTTTTTTTTTTTTTGATAATTGTAGTCAAAAGAAAGTTGCATTCTAGTATTTCACATTAAGGCACTTTTTGTTGTTGTTGTTGTTTTTTTTTTTTTTTTTGTTTTTTTTTTTAATAGAGCACACCTAAAGACAGAATGAGAAAAATAAGTAAGAAGAACGAATTTATAATTTTTAGATTTTCAAGAGAGTGCAAACTACAAATTTTAGCTAAATATAAAAACAGAACAAAAAAAAAAATGGGATGGGACCACCACCTATCTCGGCCATGTGTAGTTCCGCCCCTGGGCACACCCGATCTAAGATCTACTACTGCTTGTTAGGACCACTAGGCTAAGAGAGTGCATTTATAAATCACTAGAAAAGCTTGATTACATCCTCATTCATTTTATTAATTTAAGTTTTTAATTTTAAATTTTTACACTTAAAAGCTTTAAAAAAATATCACATCTAATTTTTTCTACTACAGTTAAAAATTTTTAAAAAATGCATTTCAACTCAAATTAAAAATTCGAATCCGCAAAGCGAACAAGACCTTAGTTACCATGTTTTGGCTATCAACAAACCTCCTTATGTGAAAATACAAAATTGTGCTACTAGTATTCGATGACATGTCTGATACAATATTTTGAAGTTTGAATCACACATTGCTTTTTCTTGGAAAAAAGAAAAACTATTTTTTTTTTCTTGTTTGGAAATAGCTTCATTTCAAACTATAAGCCAAAGAGGTTAAAGAAAAAAAAAATCAATTAGCTGAATCGCGTGCACATAAAACTGAATAGTAATGCAAAACAACATTCCTCAAGCATTAAAGTCCAAGAAAATGATAAGGACATTTTACAAAAAAAACAACTCATTTGAAAAAGAACTTTAGAGAGAGAGAGTTTCACGGCAGGTGGGCCGGCGTGTCACTGGTCCTCTAGTCGCTGTTCTCCATCCGGGGGTTCGTCATTGACCAATCTGCACGCTGCCAAGGTTCATGCCGCCAGAGGAGGAAGTTTGGGCCTAGGTCGAAGTTCGGGTCATTCGTAGGGACAGGGCCAACCATCGCCGATTTGGGTCCGGTTTCGCGGGGGTAAGAGCAGCTGTCGTCCGCAGAGGACGAGGGAGGCTCAATTCGCTGCTGGAACCGGGCTAGGTCACTGAGGGGCCGATGTTGGCTTGGCAAAGGGCTGTTGTCTTGGGTTTGACGGATTTGGTTGCCATTCGGTGTCCATCGGCATTGAGGGGCCCTCCCGTGATGGTGGGAGGGTTCGTGCCGCCGACAGTGGGTGAGAGTGGGTGAATCTGGGACGCCCGAGGGTTTTTCCATAGAAGGGCTTTCGAAGCTCTCCAATGGTCAGGCAGTCGGAGCTGAGTGGCTAGGGCCCGTAGGAGGTTGGCGTGGAGGGAATTCGGCTTCACGGATCGTTGTGGCGGTGGCGCTCAAACTTTGTGTTTTCTATTATTTTTGTGCTCTGTGTTTGGTGTAATAAAGGTGATGGTCTCCCCACCGTCTCTATGTGCTGTGTTTAGTGTTTTTGTATTGTGTGATGGGCTTGGCCTAGAGGATGGTTTTCCCATGCCTCTAGTGTTCGGTGGTGTCTTGCGTCGGGAATGGATCAGGGTGGGGTGTTCTATGATTGTTAGTATCACTGACAGTAAGAGTTTAGCTCCGTTCAGGATTAAGGTTGAGTTTAGCTCCATCGATCAATGCACAGACTCTCAAATGGGTCCTTCAAATATACTTGTATGCCCGATTTTTGGTCCATGGACCTTTGGTTGTACCTCGGCTGTTTTCAGCTCATTTTAATAAAGTTTTTTACCTCCGTTTGGAGGCCTTACTTAACACCCACAACCCCAACCCCCTCCCCCCCCCCCAAAAAAAAAAGAAAATCCAAGAAAATGATCGTTCAAAAGGTAACCCACGTGAGCAAGTGCAAGTCACGGGGCCCAATGAGTAAAGCATGTGCAGATGTTTATTAAGGCTTTTATTCCTCCCACGCTCCCACGTGAGGCCCCCAATGTTTTAGGCACTCAGATTTCATGCCCGTTAGGGGGGACCACTATACTTGTCATTGACATGCCATTGGTATTGCCATTTGCTTCTGATGCATGCCAATGCATCACTGCACCACCCCATAGCCATACTAGTACTGATCCAAAGAACTGTTGCATTTTTTTTTTTTTTTTCACTTTTTTCTTGTAAAAAATTGTGAAAGTAACAACAACCCGGTTTCGAATAAGATCCGGGGTAGGGTACTTCAAAGTTCAGAAGCTGGGGCTATCGCCAATAAGCTGTTTCTACAGGATTATTTTTGAAAAATGCTTGAGATCATCACCACTAATAGAAGGTGGGCTCCATGCTATAGGACCCACCTTCTATTAGTGGATAGTGCTAAGCACCATTAGTGTCATATAGCATTATTCATGCACAAGTGTGAAGGAATGTGGTCCAAGAGAAGAATTTCATGCACATCTAAGGTGAATAAAAGGAAAGACTGAAATACTACAGAAAATTCAATTCTTTCATTAACCCCCAATAGAAGTGTTTAACAATTAATAATGTTTCTAAACAAACTATATGGCTAAAATTGTGCCCAATTCTCTAATTTTAGAGCTCCACAATTCATCTACTTGCAGCACAAATCTGCAGAACATATCAGTGGACAGAAGTTGGCCCTCTTGGTCCTTAATTGGTCCCACTTCTTATAATAATTAAGATTCAAAGCAAACATGAACTTATTGGCCTAAATTATTCAGGAAGAGTGCTCATATCATTTCCTACATTTGTGGGGTTAGTGGGGTCAATTTCTTCATATGCATTCTTTCTAAAGAGGGTCAGCACTTCTTTCTACAATGGAAAAGGAAATAAACCCAACAATTATTTTATTTATTTGCTCATTATAATAAGGTTAAAATAATAACCACGAGCCAGACGAAAGAGAGTTGTATTAATTAATTAAGTAATTAGAAAGCATATAGAAATAAAGCAAAAGATAGCATACATTTTGGAGTCAAAAGTCTTCAAGGAACAGGCCTCTTTGGAGGAAGAAATATGCAAGTGGGCGTGTGGGTGGTGCCAAGAGTGGGTAGAAAAGTGACAAGCCGCGAGAAACGCTCTCGGTCTAACCACTGCTATGCGGGTGGGTAGCTTATCCAAGGAGACTCCTTTCCTTCCCAATTGAACCCAAACAATCAAGCAACGCATCCTCAAGTCAACCCTCGCAATAAACTAGTATTTGTTTTTGAAGGCGGCTCACGGAAGCACCGGTATCTATGGAGAATGACCTGTCCTAAATTTGGGATTGTCAAGATGAGGATGCATCACAAATGAGCGAGTTAAAATAAGAAAATTGATCAATATTCAAGTAAGAGGATGCATTGACTTTATAGCATTATGTGTAGCAATGCCCGCAAGAAAACTAAGAATTGAACAGCAATGACATGGATTAATTAGAAAAAAAAAAGGAAAAAATAAAATAAAAGACAGGCAACATATACTTTTCAATTCAAACTTGCAATAGTAAAACCTAAAGAGAAAGCTATCATATCTAATGTTTTTGTGCCAAAGTTCATACATGAACTACAAATGTTAAAAGCAAGCTTCCTTTGTTGTATTGGTCTTTCTTTCTGCCAAATAGAAAATCTTCATTTATAACACGTTTCCAAGAATCCAATGTACTTTAAAAAAACTCAGAAACAACTAAGATTGATATCTGATATGGAAAGCATGAACAAAAAAATAAGAAAATAAATCTACTGGTCTATCAAAAGAACATGCATCCCATAAAATTAGCGTAGTACCTCTCTTTTCGGGCTCAATGTTTCTATGTCATGCAACACAAACAAAAACAAATGTGATAGAAAACTTTAGAACCTCTTTTAAAGGACACTATTACTTGACACAATATAATAAATCAGAATATTTAATCATCAAGCTTTGCCAGCTCATGTAGGGCCTTCATACGAAATAAAATAGAAAACAGCATCAAGTTTCGTGGAATCTCAATAACCCAAACGGCAAATGAGAATGATAGTCAAATATTTGGTTTATTCTGCCTCTCTTTCTGGCAAAACAAATCATGTCAAAATAATTAAGTAGGGACTTCAAAAAGTCGTTTCTTTCTGAATTCTATTCTACCTAACAGAATGGGTCAACAATGGGCTATTCAAGGACATGAATTATTTGAGTAACCGTGGCCCAGTCTTAACTTTGGCGAAGCTGCAAAGTTCGGCCAAAATCACAAAAGCCTGAACTTCAAAGAGAAAACCTAGGTTACAGCAGCTCTATTAAGGGCTATGCCTTATTCCCATGGTTGAGTTAGATCAAATGGCTGAAGCAAGCTCAATTTATAATCATTAAAAGAAGAAAAAATCAAAGTAATAAAATGTGGTTACCTTTATCAGTGACTTAATAAACTTACTTTTGTTTGGCTATGATCATTTTGTTTCTTCTCCAAAACTATGGCAGCTCAAATCTGGAGCTGATTCCTGCAAGGACACAAGTCTGGCCAAAAGTTAGAGATCATCCCAAGTAATGCATATAATCAGCAATGACAAATATTTATGAGAATGCAAACCATAAGTTGCTTAATTTGAAGTCTAAAACGAAAAATAAACCCTACCAAAAAACTGAGACCAGTAAGAAAGTAGAGAAAAGAAGATCGGAAAAAAGAAGAAAAAAAAAGTGAGATATAAACTAATTGCAACGTAAATGAGTTCAAATCCATCATAATGGCTTATCTATATAGGCAATACAATGTAAATAAGAAACAGTTCCATGATTCATAGGGAACCATTCTTCATGGAAAAGTGGAAAATGACCTTAAGTGGCATCATTTTCGCTGCCCTAAGAGTGCGTAGAAAGTCCCAGCTTTCGAAGAATGCTATGGCACCAAGTATAACATATGCCAACTAAATTTGACATTAAATGTATAACATGGCATTGGAGAATGATCTCTCATTGAGTCACTGGCATAGAAATTTGGCATTGCTTAGGGACACTCTAATGTGTATACAACAGTGGCTTGCGTTTTTGGGTTTATAAACGTACCAAGTACAGTAACCAATAGAGTAAAGTGTGCATCATCAAAGTTTGCATTCATTTAAAAGAGAGGATGAACCGCAATTCATGAATATGGGTCCAGTCCAAACGATTCTGTACATTGCTGTGATCAATACGCAACTAAATAGACTAGTATTTTGAAAATTAAGTGAGAACTGCAACATAAAAATAATAGTCAAAGTTAGTGTGGAACTGCACGATCTATGGATAAAAGCAAGCCAAATAACAATAACAACACAAGAATCCCCACCTTACGATCCCATTGACAAGCCTTATTTGGTTCCTAGCTGAATATAAATCTGTAGTTTTTTAACATATAGAAGCTCTGCTAAGTTGAACAGCACTTGTATCTATTGCTTTCTATGAAAATCAAGTATGCTATATTATTTCAACTTGTAACCCAACAAAATTAAAACCTAAAAAATTTTTGCACTGGCTTCACATTTGTTTCATATATGGAAATAATCCTGGTAACCTGATGCTAAATAGTTAAGACACAGCAAATATTAATACCATTAACCTGGCAGACACAAATTTGAGTTGTGATAGAGGTTGTCTAAGAAGAAGAGAAATAATAAGAATATAAAAACCAGAATAGTGAAAGGTTACAAAATTAAGAGAAAATACAAAGATAAAAAGAGTGCATCTGTGCATGTAATCAAAAGCCCAAGGTTTAGTTAATTAGAATGGAATACATTTACATCAAGGGAACCTATTTAAGAATTATAACAAATTTTCATAGGAAAAAAACATCTCTGCCAAAGTAAAAAAATAAACAAAGATTAAAACTAAACAGGACTTAAGATAGAACAAATTAACACTAAGTGCACTAAAAACCAAGAAAGGATTATAGGAAACTCTTCGAACTATCTTGTTAAGGATAGAGCAAGTTGTCAAGAAAAGAAAACTCTTTCATTCTTACATATTATCGTCAACAACCAAATATCCTCCGGCTCTCCCGCCATATAATCCTACATTGCTCCTTTCTTTTAAAATTTTGCAAACTTATTGGCCCTCATGAATTGCATAATGACATCACAGACGTCCTAGGAAACCTTGTAGACGAACTAAACAATTTCCAATTTTCCTACCCATTGACAGGTTGAACTTGGCCTACGAGAATACCAAAGAGTTTGATATTTGCAAACTGTACATATATCATGACTTTCTACCAAAGCATGGAAAAAAGGGATCAGGATTTACAAGAAAGGATTAATGCCACAAACAGAAACTTATTGAAAATAATGATGCAGTTGAAGTATAGGCCCCATTCGGTATCATTAGTAACTGAAATAGCCCCTTAGTCATCTGAAGCACTGTAAGCACCGTAGCAGACAAATATAGGTAGTTCAAAAATTGCTGTTACTCTCATCTCAAGACCAATCAGAGAGAGAGGATCTTTCAAAACAAAACACAAAAAAAAAAGAAAAAAAAAAAGACCAATCAGAGAAATAAAATGGTTGAAATTCAATTTTTGACCATTCTAAAATTGCTTATAATTACATAAAAATCCATGACTTGATACATGCCACACTGTTTAGGATGTATAACAAGATACAACAGATCATAAAGTAAGGATCTTCCAAGTATATCATCAGAAAAGAAACATGGTTGCTTCCACATGGTAATCACTTAAGGATGAATGCCAAGCAGATTTTCCTAGAAAAAGTGACATCCAAAAAGACTATTGAGTGACTATAAACTTTGTTACTGCAAAAAAATCATTTAAGAATGTTCAAAAGCCGTGTGGGAAAATAATCTATGTGCAGAAAAAAAGGTTAAAATATTTCTGCAATTAGGAAGAACATAGAAAAACAACTAGATGAAACTTCTAATTCTTTGTAACTCACCAACAACTTTAAGCTTCAAAAGCATGGTCAAACAAAAAATCCCATTTGTCCAACTATTGCATCTTTTCGAACTCAAAAACTGTTGGGAGAAGTATTTGCTTTGATGCTTATACATACACTGTTGGGAGAAGTATTTGCTTTGATGCTTATACATACACATATATACAATACAATGCTACACAAAAAGTCCACAAGTGAAAAGAAATTACACCAAATAGAACAAAACACCAGTAAAACCCCATTCTTTAAGAGCCTGTTACATCTTTCTAATTCAAAACACTCAAAGAAAAGGAAGAGTTTTTGAAAACTTCATCAATAGAAGCCCAAACAGAACCTAAATATTTTGGCTTTCTAGAAAGGAGAGCAAAAATCTAATTCCTTTTTCTTATAACCCTGTTTCTCTACATCCAAATGACCCACAAAACTGAAACACCACACTCATGCAAGAAAAAGTATATCAAAATACGATTATAATTTGCTTTGATGCTAAAAGACCAACAACAAAAAGGTACCATTATGATAATTAATTTCATGCTACATTGAGGTTGGAAAGCAATCATATGATTCCATATCTTCTCTGAAATTCTGGGAATAATCGACCAAGAAACAATACTTAAAAAAAGAAAAGTTTAGAAACTACAAAATTCGAGTCAAATTACACGAAAAAAATAGTAATAAAATACTTGCACAACAAAAAGGAAAAAAATGAAATATGAAGAATTAGAGGTGGGAAAGAAAATTTTACCAGAAAAAGGACAAAGCTTGGCGAAGTAACAAAGCTCCATTGGCTAAACAACCAAACAGAATTTTAGGGAGGAAAAAATAAAAAGAAAAAAGAAAAACTTTGTATTCAAACAGTATAGCATGTGCAAAACCCATTTCGACCCCAAAAAAAAGAAAGAAAAAAAAAAACAAAGAGGAAGAAGAAGAAGAAACCTGGAGAAGTGTGCAAATAGTTGTCGTACGGAAATAAATGTGCCATCGTGCAAAAGAAATGTACGGGAAAGAAGAAGACGCCATGAGGATATGGAGAAAAAACGACACTCTAGAGCGAAAAAAAAATGGAGAAAGAAGATGGGACTGGATGGATAAACGAAACGACATGCAGAATAGTAATGTTGAGCTGGCAAGGACATCAGGCACCGCTTATTTCATTAATTTAAATTTTATTAGAGTAAAAAATTTTAAAAAATAACTACATTTAATTTTTTATTATAATAAAAAATTATTATATAATATTACATTTTAATTTAAATTAACAAAGTAAATGAGTCAAATATTTAAAGAGAAGAGGACGTGTCACCTTGAATGAGACGACAAGTGAGATAGATAGAGAACAACAAAAGGGAAATGAGCTAAATAGCATTTACAGAATGATTCATTTACGTGAAATAAACTTGAAAAGATAAAGGTCCGTTCATTTTGTTGATTTGAGTTTAGAATTTGAGTTTTACTACAGTAAAAAGCTCTCATAAATAATCACATCTAATTTTTTTGTTACAGTAAAAAGCTCTCACATAAAATCACATCTCAACTCGAATTAAAAACTCGAATCAGCGAACTAAACGAACCCTACTTAACGAAAATATGCTTAAAAAATGACCTATCTCTCTTGCACACGCACGTGTGATGTGGGCACTTGTCGCTTCGGCAAACGTGACATGCGGTGCGTGGAGAAAATATTGCTTAAAATTAAATTTGAATTTTAAATGAAATAGATTAATTTTATTTTAGGGTATTTTACGTATTTGCCCTTTTAAACTTGTATGATTTTAGCATTTTAACAATTTGTCCCTAACCTTATAATTTTAGCAAGTTGTCCTTTTCAACTTCTAATCCCTTAAAAAAATTTGAACAAATTTAGTAAAATATGGCACATTGTAATAATTTTACAAATTTAGAGGTTTGATTATTAAAATTAAAAATTTAAGGAACAATTTGCTAAATCACAATAAATTCAGGAGCAATTGTGTAAAAACCCTTTAATATAATTTAAGATTCTGAAAGGTGATAACCTTTCCGAAATAGTGTAAAATTCTGAATTTTTGAAATTTAAATTCAAATATTCAGAAAAGTTAGAACCATTTTGATTGGGCAGTAGTTATTTCTAAAGGGTGTAATTAAGGGTTGTCATTTAAATTATAAATAAGAAAAAAAGTGATCAGAAAATTTTATCTGATATACTCGTTTTTCTTTCTTTCTCCAAGAAAACACATTTTCTGTTCTTTACTTTTTTCACTTTTGTTTCACGCAGAAATACACAGAAAGCTATTTCTTGTATAAACTTGTAAACAATCTCAGAGAAGAGGGGGCAAATAATGCTTTAGGAAATCGTATTCACGACGTGTTTCAAATACCCAGATTTCCAACACAAACTTCATGCAAAGGGAAGTTAGAGAAAATCGCTAAAATATGAGAGAAAACAACACTATTGTTCACCTCATATTACAGCTAGCAAAACTACTAAGATCATATGACATATTATATAAATAATTATGAAAAGCTAGCAAAACTAAATTGACAAGTTAAAACAAACGATAATGTAAATTCCCAAGCTTAAATTTTTAGCAAGCGTGCCTAGATCACTCTAAGACTTTGAAAATGACTATTCCAACTCTTTCTAAGCAATTGCATGATTGTCGATCTTCATCAAAGTACCAGATTTAGGCGCTCTCTTATTGACAGAGAATTTGTTTGGTGGATGGTTTTCGGTTCAAATAGTATTTTCTCTCATAAAAATTTGAATTAAAAAATATTGTTTTATTTTGATAAAAATTTGAATAAATTTGAATTCAAGTTTCATGAACTAAACAGGACCAAAATTTTGACCCCTAGCAAGTTGAAATGTAAGATCTAGCCCGGAACCTCCTTGAACTACTTTAAAGAAATGTGAACAGTTTCTGGAGCTGGAAAAATATCATGGACAATGTTTGTGACATGGCTATTCATGATCCGATCACTTTTTATCATTTCAACATGGTTTCCTTCATCAATATTCTCACTATTCTCATATTGACAACAGGAACATCTAGTTTTGTTTTGTTTTTTGTTTTTTTGATTAAGTTGAAAGAGAATTTTGTGATAAGGGGAGCCTCATTTTTAACATTCTACAATTACAAAGCAACCGTTTGATCAACTAAAATTTTGATCAGAAAAAGTCCAACAAAAATAACATTCGATTTTTCTCCTTCGATTTCTGCTCTCACTCTCTCCCTTTTTGCCTCTCTAACTCTATGCTATCTCTGACTCTTTTTTATCTCTAAAATCACTTTCTACTCTGCCTTTAGTAAATTTCCTTCCCACCCACATTGTTTGATTGTTATTTTATTTTTTATTTTTTTGTAACGTTCTATTTCGTTTTTGAAATTTTAGTTTTGCTATTTTTCTTTTATTTTATTTTTGTGTTTCACTTGTTTGGCCGCCACCACTGAAATTTTTGAGAAACGTTGTTATTATCTGATTATCTATGTGATCAATTTGTTGGTTTTTAGGAGGATTTTAAAGTGAGAGTATGATGATGATAATTAATACGATGATGATGATGATTAATTTGATGATTTGATGATGTATTAGGTTTTATGACAAAATATTATGGTGTCGAATTAAAATATTCTTGGATGTTTGAAAATTTTCAGAGTTTCGATTTGTATGATGATGTATGAAATATGAAAATTCTTGCGCGGATGATCTTTTTTAGGGGGGTAACGTTATTCTTTTCAAAGTTGTCTGAAAAATTGTTAGTTTAAAATAAGGTTTTGATGAATTTTTATTCCTAGATATTAAGCATGATCATTGATAAAAATATATGTTAAAAATGTGGTTCCATTTGAAAAAACTTTTAGCTACAAGTGTCTAGACGAAAAAACTTATTTGTAGTAGTATGTTACTATATTACCCTTTAAAATTAAGGGCGTGCAAGTAGTGAACATTAAAGAGCAGGATTTGGTAACATTCGATGATCATTACTTTTGGCATTAACCAAAAATTAAAAAAAAAAAAACTAAAAATTTTATGGCTCCGCTCATGTATGTATAAAAAATAAACGCAATTGAATTAAAATTTATAATTCCACAGAACATTTTTTTTTGGGGGTAGAATTCCAGAGTAATTATCATATATGAGTTCCCCTAAAGCATTCCTAGCTGAGAATATTAAGTATGTTAATACACAATCTTATATGTGTGTATGAGTTCGAATTCACTAAAACTGATTTTATCAGCACATAGAAAAGGGAGCATATATATATGAGGCGCCAAAAATGATGCATGACCCTAAAATCAACATTCGGATTTTATTTAGAATACTATGAAATGTAAGAAGGAAAGTATAATTGTTGTGTGGAAAAATGTTTTTTATTGACGAGAAATTACCGTCAACAATAATATTTATAATATCTTAACGGATTAAATTAATCGGATAATTAGTACTCTCAAGTAAATAATTAACAGATACTTTTCATTTTTTATGTTTGATGTAGCTTTACAATAGATATGATCATAAATAGCCAGATAACAAGACATAAACGAGTCATATGAAAATACATTAAATCTCTATTAAATTTCTCTCTCTCATAGTAGATTTTTGTGATTATTCGAGTATTACTGTGTAATAACCACATACACATATACTATGAGAAATCAAGGTAGTGGAGCATGAAGATCATGTTAATAACTGCAGTATTATGAGTCTGTTTCATGAAGATAAGAGCATGCACCAGTGTTGAATTAAAAATATGACACGACATCACTTTAGATGCTTCCAAACATATACTAGATAGGTTTTTTCTTTCGGAACCAATACTCCCTGGTAATAAAAATTGATAGTTTCATTCTAACGATCAAATTCCTTGATATGATATTCATAATTGTCTACTACATACATAGAGTTAATTGATTGGTGAACATAAAATATACAACCTAGTGAGTAGCGAGACTTTTCTTTTTACCCTACATTTTTATCATTTTATGAGTGGCCTTTTTTCTTTGTCTTGACTGATCAACATATGATCTCTTATCACTCTTATACAGACTGAACAAGGGAACTTAATTAAGAAGTTAATGTTCATTAGCCAAAAAAAAAAAAAGTAAGTTAATTAATATGTTTTGACACCCCAACCAATATATCAAGAATATCCTTCCACCATACCGATAACATCAACATTTAATAAGTGGTCATGAATAAGACAGGTTTTAGCTTTATGACTAATTTTAATCCGAAAACCTTGTTATGCACACTACGCATGTATATAATAAGAGACGAATAAAGGGATTAATTAAGGTGATAATATAACTTATAACCCGATTTGTTAAGTAGTAAGCGACTTCAAGTCAATGCGTACATTCCTAATTAATTTATACAAACAGTCTTCCAGTTAGTGAGATATATTTGATGCAAGTACAATGCAAGTAAGAGGTTCTATGTCTTGGAATTTGGTGGCATAAATTTGAGACGATGCAAACAATGTTAGGGGGGAAAAATAGTAGGATATTTATATTAGTTGTTTCTTGGTCAGATCGTTGGCGAGAAATACTATATGATTACAGAGATTTGGTTAAATGGTGAAGAGAGAAGATAATTTATATCAAAAGACATTATTAACACGTGCTAATTTGATTATCACCCACCGGAAGTTTTTTCACGCATGAAATCCCTCACTTTAATTAATTACAAATAGTTATCTTTTTATTCTGTTTAATTTATGGGAAATTTTCATTTTAAAATTAACAAGTTGCATATATATTATAGTCGTAAATGACCACCAACTACAAAAAAATTTCAACCGCGGATATTAATTGGATCTAACACTGAAGACAAATAAAGCGTATGGGCAAACAAAAGTACTGAGACCCAAGAGAAAAAAAAAATCACTCAACATATACAAAATTGAACGTGACTTAAGCTCGTTAGAAAGAACCACTATAGTCGATGAATAAAATAAGTGACCGAAACCAAACCCCAAATACTGGAGACACAAGCGACACGGCCTAGGAACAACTCTAACCGTAGACCAACACACACCATCGATAATCAATTCAAATGGTGA